GGGAATCATTTGGTCCGGCCGCGCCTCAGCCACACGGGACTTTCGCGGGACACCGGCGGGACACCGCGGGCCACCGGCAGCCCGGAAGGGAGTCATTTGGTCCGGCCGCGCCTCAGCCCCAGGAGACTTTCTCTCACCCGCCCACGCAGCTTCGCCTCGCCCGCACGCACGGCACGCACGAACACGAAACCGAAATCGATTTCCCGGTAGGGGGGCTCTCCGTTCCGCTTCGATCTCACCCCCTCACCTCCGAACTACTACTACCTATACGACCACCCTTCGGGTGATAAGGAAGTTCGGGGGGGGGGAGGAACCAACGTCTCACTATCGATCTCACTATCGATATCAGTATCGGTCTCGCTCGATCGATCTCCCTCGATTGATCTCACAATCGATCTCACTCGATCTATCCCACAATTGATCTGACTATCGATCTCACAATCGATATCACAATCGATATCACATTCGGTCTCACTACATCATCATCATCATCATCATCATCATCATCATCCTCATCACCATCAGAATAAGCATCATCATCGGGACGCCATAACCATCATCAACCTCATCATCATCAACATCATCATCATCGGGACACAATCATAATCAGCATCATCAACATCAACATCATCATATTCATCATCATCGGGACACCATCATCGTCATCAACATGATCATCATCATCATCCTCATCATCGGGACACCATCAGCATCATCATCGTCATCATCATCATCGACATCATCATCATCATCATCATCATCATCGGGACACCATCATCATCAGATCATCATCATCGTCCTCATCATCATCAGCAGCCGCATTATCATCATCAGCATCACCATCATCATCATCGTCATCATCACCATCAGCAGCATCATCATCAGCATCACCATCATCATCATCATCATCTCATCATCATCATCATCATCATCATCATCATCATCATCATCATCATCGCGGGACACCGCGGGACACCGGCGGGACACCGGCGGGACACCGCGGGGCACCGCGGGACACCGCGGGACACCGCGGGACACCGGCCGGCCGCCCGGAAGGGAGACATTTGGTCCGGCCGCGCCTCAGCCACAGGAGACTTTCTCTCGCCCGCCCACGCAGCTTCGCCTCGCCCGCACGCACGGCACGCACGAACACGAAACCGAAATCGATTTCCCGGTAGGGGGGCTCTCCGTTCCACTTCGATCTCACCCCTCACCTTCGACTACTACTACTACTACTACTACGCTACTGATACTACTGCTACTACGAGTACCAGTACTATGACCACTACTACGATTACTGATACTACTAGTACTACTACTACTACTACTACTACTACTACTACTACTACTACTACTACTACTACTACTACTACTACTACTACTACTACTACTGCTACTACTACTGCTACTACTACTGTACTACTACTACTACGACTACTACTACTACTACTACTACTACTGCTACTACTACTACTACTACTACTACTACTACTACTAGCTACTACTAATACTACTACTACTACTACTACTACTACTACTACTACTACTACTACTACTACTACTACTACTACTACTAGTACGACTGCTGAGTACGGATTACAAACCACTAGCTACTAACTACTACCTACAATATATTAACTAGTAACGGCGTACTACTTATACATACGACTAGCTACGAACAGCAGATTCTTAATTGTGTTCGGACCACTATCCAGATTTAAATACCAACTACTACGTACTGTCTATTAACTCCCAACTACGAGTTGCTAGCTACGAACTGGTACCAACTTGGTCGCCACATGTAGGTTAGTAATATTACCTAGAAGAGTTACTCTTCGGGGCAAAAGAAGCCAGACTGATGGGAAATCTGTGTGGCGCCTTCAGGGTAGCTCATTGCGATTTGCGATAGTCAGTTTTGACAGAAGTGTGAGGATCCTCGATGAGGTCTCACCCGGAGAACTAACCCTGTCCGAAGGATCCCCAGGAATCTACAAGGAGTTGGTAGTTCACCCGGAGAAGTAACCCTTTTCCCGGTGAAGTAACTTTGTTCCCGGAGAAAGAACCCTCGCCTCTTGGATCCTTTGGGGGCTTTTTTCGGGGTGAAGGCTCGGATTTTCGCATCGCGTTCCCCCTCTTGGGCGCCTCTTGGGCCGTCTTGGGGGCCCCTTGGGCCGTTTTGGGCGCCTGCTGGTCCCCTCTTGAGGCCGTCTTGGGCTGTCCTGGGCGCCTCTTGGGCCGTCTTGGCACCCTTTTCGGCCGTGTTCGGCCCATCTTGGGGGCCTGTTGGGCCGCCTTGGGGCGATCTTGAGGGTCTCTTGGGCAGTATTGGACGCTCTGAACCCCTGAGAGTCGCAAATGCGAAACATGCACGCTTTCGTAAGGAAATGAGACGGTCTTTGGATGTTGAAACTCTCTTGGACGGCGTCTTGGGGCTCTCTTGGGACTTCTTGGCGGCGGCTTGGGCCGTCTGGAGGCCATCTTGGGCGTCTTGGACCGATCCTGCGGCGACCCAGGGCCTTTCGGACGGTTTCGGGCGCGTCTCGGGGCTCTCTTGGGGCGTTCCTGGGGCGCTCTGGAAAGCATGGAAGGCAGCGCCGAGGAGGAAAACCATCTCTGGACCCTTTTGGCCGGGAACTGCTCGGGGTACTTTTCGTCTGGGGGGCCCCAGGGGCCGCCCCGCGCGCGCGCGAACTAGAAAAATATGAACCAGTTACCGGAGATCTTAGCACGCCTCTGGCCCGTTGGGCCAGCGAATTTACGTGCAACCGTCCATGTGTTGCCATATACGTGGTGCATCGTGCGTGGTGCAGTCGATGTGGAGCAATCTGTATGGTGCTACATATGTGATGCAGGCGACGCTTGCAGCATATGGTGTGCAACCCTTGTGGTACAATCTATGTTGTACACGATGTTGTGCAATATATGTTGTGCAATCTATCGTGTGCAATATATGTGGTGCAATCTACGTTGTGCAATCTACGTGGAGCAATCTATTCTGGTGGTCCTATCAATGTAAAAGAACGTAAAGCAACGACAACGCAGTTGCCAGACCGACAGCCAGGACCAATTCCTTAGAAAAGAAGGTAATCAATTTACATGGTGCAATCCAACGGCGGCGACGAGGCGGCGACGGAACGGCGACCGCGACAACATAGCCGCCAGACCGCCACACCAGACCAGACGACGGGCGGCGAGGAGGCGGCGACGGGGCAGTGACGGCGACAACATAGCCGCGAGACCGCCCCATTGGCCCACACGACGGGCGGCGACGGGGCGGCGACGTGGCGGCGACGGCGATAACATAGCCGGCAGACCGCCACGCCAGCCCAGACGACGTGCGGCGACGAGGCGGCGACGGGGCAGTGACGACGACAACATAGCCACTAGAGGTAAGAACACCTAAGTACAAGCACGGTTTCGGGAATATGATACATAACAACGTTTGAATTCATGCGTGTGCAAAACAGTATGCGGAGAGGGCCGAACATCTTCCGTACAGAGTTAGGGGAGAGAGGAGAGTAGTGCCCATGATGTGTAATTGTGGAGGGGGGGAGGGAGAGGAGGAGGAGGAGGAGGAGGAGGAGGAGGAGGAGGACGAGGACGAGGAGGAGGAGGAGGAGGAGGAGGGATGTCCGCCAAGTGCTCTGAGATGCCTGCTGCATTGCATACCGAGGGGCACATGGATCGAGCGGAGCTTTCGGTGAGAAGGCGCGTGCAGGATGGGTTGTGACCTTTTTCCGTGGCGCGCTCTCGTTGAGCATTTTACCGATCGAATAGCTGCAGGACGGACTTCCATTGCGATGGTAACTACAGCGAGTAGGCAAAGGATAGGGAGGGGGAGGCATGGAGGGAGGGAGGGAGGACGGAGGAGGAATGAGGGAGGAGGGGAAGGAGAAGGAGGGGGAGCATGAGAAGGGAGAGGGCCAGGGACAGGGAAGGAAGAGGGGCAGACGGACGAGAAGGAGGACGAAGACAGGGAGGAGGAGGAGGAGGAGGAGGACGAGGAGGACGGGGTGGCGGAGGAAGGCAACGAGGAGAACAAAGAGAATATAGTTTCAGTGTGCCGCACTGCTGCCCGTCAGATCGCGGCCGACCACTCGAGTTTCTTTTTCTTGCACCACTTCAGATTCTTCATCATTCCGCTCATCCGCATGGCAACCACCACCATCATCAGCATCATGGCCACCATCAGCAATAGCATTAGACATCTCAATTTGAAAAGCATGACAATCAGCATCATCACCGTGCGCATAGCCATCAGCAGCATCATCATCGCAATCATCAGCAGCAGCAGTACCATCATCATCATCAGCAAAAGCAGCAGCAGCATCAGCATCAGCATTATTTCATCATCGCAATATGCATGATCAGCTGCACCAGCATCATCATCAGCATCAGCTTGGTGACATCGCTATCATCATCACCATCACCACCGCCATCATCATCAGCATCATCAACATCATCGCCATCATCATCAGCATCATCATTTACGTTACTTGTCCCCTCGTGATTTTCTCTGGTGAGGGACATCGAGGAGAGAGGTAGAGAGCGAGGTATATCGTGTCCACAGCTTCGTTGGCACAATAGTCGTCATGGTAGCGGAGATGGCTGCGGCAAGTTCCTGCTGAGGCGCCCCTCCCTTCGGGCGCTGGCCGCCCGCGCGATCGCAGCCGACCGCGGGCCGGAGGACCCACGGAAGCAGCATCGAGCAGGACGTCAAGCTGAGGAGCGAGAAACAGAATTACGGGATCTACGTGATCCACCGCACGACCTACATGGTCAACAGCAGAGGGCAGCACGAGAAGCACAAGTATGAGATCTACGTGTTCAAAAGCACGATTTGCGTGGTCAACAGCAGAAACCAGCACGAGACGCGCGACTTCGAGATCTACGTGGTCAAAGATGGCAGAGACGGATGAGAATGGCAAGGTTCGGGGCTGAAACCACCGAACTTCGACGGACTCGAGGAGAACTGGATGGAGCGGTCGTTCGTGATGCAGGCTTTCTTGGGCGGACAGACGGCGCAAGCGCACCTTTTGCTGGAGGCCGCAGAGCAGCACGGAGGCCCTGACATCTGCATGGCGGAGACACTGCACAGGCTCGGAGCGGAAGGCGTGACGGCCAACAAGAAGATGTTCTTCTCATTGGCGATGACGGTGAAGGTAGCGCTCAGATGTTGATCAGGAGCGTAGAGGACCAGAACGGTGCGGTGGCCTGGCTGGCGTCGGTCAAGCGGCACGAGCCAGCCACCGCAGTCAGAGCGCACAGTATCATGACGAGCGTGTTCAATGTGAAGCAGTTCCTTGGCACGCTGGCGGAGTCCGAGACACAGCACTCGGAGCGGCAGCGCGACGTTCGACTATATGAGGCGGCGGCGGGAGAAGTGTTCCGCAGGCGCGAAGATGAGTAGCTTCCAAAATAAGGCGCCGCGCAACATGCCAACGGTAGCAATGCAGAGTGAGAGAAGCTACGACGAACTGGTCAGCACGACGGCACAGCACTGGTTAGCAGCAACGGTCGACGAGGACGGCTGCCAGCGGATCCAGACTGCGCCGAGCGGATCTGGCGCAGGCAGGGGCAACGGCAGCGCCGCGATGGGGGTGGACGCACTGACAAGACAGCACGGCAGCAAGGGCGACCAGAGAGGCGAAGGGAAAGGCAAGGGAGATCAGAAAGGCAAAGACAAAGGGCTACGACGGCAAAGGCAAGGGCCGCGGCGCAGGTCCGATGGCGAGAGCAGCGGCGACGAAGACATCTCATTGGAGCATGACGGGCGCACCTGGAACAAGGCTGCGCTACAACTGCGGTGGACGGGACCACTACGCACGGCACCGCTGGCACCCAGAAGGCAAGGGCGCGACGGGACAGATAGGCGACGGCAAGAGCAAGAACGGAACCGTGGGCGAGGTCACCAACGACGGCTGGAGCCAGATCGGCGCATCGGGACCAGGCAGCCGCGCGCCTTCAACGGTCGGACCATCAGCAAGCCAGATCGGAGCTCAAGGACCGCATCAGCCTGGAGTTCGAGCCATCACGCAGCAGGAAGCGACCGACGAGAACGAGTGGGAGCAAGCGTGCGAGAGCGAGCGGGAGAGAGGATGCACCCTCGCGCGACGGAGCACAAGAAGGTGTACAGCACAGTCTCAGATGGCGTCTGGAACACCAAGTGGATGCTGATGGACAACTGCACGGACGAGCACGTCTGCGGTCGAGGCGACTTACCACACGTGCAGATCGCGCCGAGTAAGAATCCGAGCCCGACGGTCGCTGACGGCAGCCCACTGCAGCACTGCGGCTCGAAGACGGCGGCGCCACTCATCGCGAGAGATGGAAGACCATCGTGGAGTTCCAGGTCGCGGACGCGAAGCAGCCCATCATGAGCGCTGGGAAGTTCTGCGGCCGCACCCCCACCAGGGCGGCCTGGTCCGACGGCAGAGGGGGACCGTTGAAGCACGAGACGGCGGGCTTCGTCAAGCAGACGGAGGTCAGCAACCACTGCGCGCTGGCGCGCTGGACGAAGGTCCACGACAACGCGGGGGAGGTCCGCGTGGATACGACGCTGCCGGCGCCCATCGGGGCAGCGGCCGCGGCAGCGAGACCCGGCGTTGAGGGCGACGGAGGAGCGGCGCGGCAGGCCTTGGGAGGTGCACCGCCAGCGCCAGTAGCAGGACCAGCACGACCAGCCCCAGCAGCACCACGACCCGCAGCGGACGCACGGCAAGACGCACCAGAGGAAGGACCAGCAGCACCACCAGGAGGTCGGGAGCACGTGGAGCCAGAAACGACAGCACACAGACTACTTGGACCACGGGAACCAAGCGCGGAGGAGGTCGAGAGACACGAGCTGACGCACCTCCCTTCTGAGCCCCGGCGCGAAATCTGCGCGAAGGCGAAGGCCAGCGACGCAACGCGCAGGTGGGAGGACAGACGCAACGAGATCACCCCGTTGCTGAGCTTTGACTACGGACAGGCAGGCGTCGAGGGGGGCCCAGTCAACTTCGAGTTCGCCGAGGGCAGCGACGCCTCCGCGGGCGGCATCTGGAGCTCAGCCTTCGTCCAGAAGGGACGAGACGACCTCTACACCATTGCCTCGGCAGCCGCGTGGATCATAGAGCTGGGTCGCTCGCGGGCCACGCCGCGATCAGGAGGCGCGGCAGAGTTCGCGCCCATCACAGCCGCGCGGGCCAGGGCGAGCAAGGATGGCATCTGCGAGACGATCCTGCCGCGGCATTCCGCGAGGCGCAACAGCCAGGCGAACGGCGGATCTGAGAGGGCCATTCAGACGATTTGGAAGCAGGTCGGGGCGCTGATGCCGACGGTCTCTGACAAGCTGAAGCACCGCCTCAGACCCAGCTCGACGTTCCTCACCCGGTTGCTCGCCACGCTGCGCGGCTGCACAATCGACGCACGGCACGCGAGGACACCAACCTGGCTCCCAACGAGAAGACGCACGTGCTCAAGTACCAGAAGCCGATCGCGGCGACGGGCGAGGCGGTGGGGCGGGGGCGCAGATCAACAAGCTGGAGCTCTCGCGGCCGGAGGGCGTCTGGCTGGGCAAAGACGCGAGGACGGACGAGTGCGCGACTGGCGCGCCGGCGGGGGCGCGCAGGCCCAGAGCGGCAAGAAGGTGGGGGGCAGGCGCTGCGGTAAGGAGCGGCTTCAGAAGATGAAGCGGACACCGAGGGGGCCGACGCCGACGACGAGAGGGCGCCCGCCGACGCAACGTTCGGCGCATGAGCCGATCTTGTCGGGACCGCCACCGCGACAGCTGGGCCCGCAAGGCCAGGGAGCAGCAGCGGCGGCAGCGGCGCTACCGCGCGGAGAGCAAGCGCCGCCAGCGCAGCCGGCACCAGCGGCAGCGGCAGCGGCAGCGACGGCTCCATTCGACGATATCGGCATGGACAGGAGCAGGACGGAGAGGGGGCCGAGAGCGGAGAGCGCAGGACTTTCTACGCCAAGGCCCCACCACCACAACCAGGAGGAGCACCGCTGCCAGAGATGAACCCGTAGAAATCACGAAGAAGACGGAAAAGGAGAAGATAAGAAGTCCCGAATGGCAGTCGCCAGCGCAGTCAGGGAGAGGCGCGAGGAGCCGACAGCGGAGAACGAGGAGGCCCACCCGCTGGAGGGCGACTTCACGGGGGCCAGGAAGGAGCACCTCGAGAGAAATTTCAGGCGATGGGAAGGAGATCGCGAATGTGATCCCGATCAGCGAGACGACGTCCAGGACCCCGACGGGCAAGCGGGTCGACGCATACCAGGCGGACGGCGCGGAGAATAGCAGGAGGACCACGAGGGGCCCCGAACGGAGAACCAACGGGCACGAGAGTTTTGCGGCGACGAACCCGTCGCTGCCACGCCTGGAGGCGACGTTGGTCACCGCGGAGATCCACGACCACGCCGCGGCGCTCGGCGACAGCAGCCGGGCGCTCTACCAGGCAGCGCCGACGGAGGATCGCATCAATTTAGAGCCGCCACCCAAAGTTGAAGCATTGGAAGGACGCGTTTGGGAAGCCTTGCGCGCGTTCCCAGGGCCGAAGGGCGCGCCGAAGGCCTGGGAGGACCACGGCGCGGGGGCCCTGGAGGAGATGGGCGCGGAGAGGGGGCGCTATGACGGGCGTATCTTCATGAGGGCGAAGGACAAGGCCTTGGCGGGCAGGCGCGCCGGCGACTTCCCGCCGACAGGGCCGCGCGAGTCAGTCGACAAGCATTTGATCGATATGGGTAGCAAGTTGAAGCTGCCGGACGCGGTGAAGCAGCACAAGGGCGGCGACGAGGCGACGATCCTGAGCACGCATGCGAAGAAGCTCAAGGGCGGCTACCTCATCGGCGGGAAGACCTCGCTGATAGACGACATCGTGGAGGAGCCCGGGCTGAAGAATGCGAAACCCTCTGCGCTGCCAGAGACCAAGACCGACGCGGAGATGAAGGATGATGACGTGAAGTTGGACGCGATGGGGCCACTGTCGGCACCGCGCTTGCGCGGGCATGCTCATCCAGCTGCCCAGCCGCAGACCTGACACCCAGCATGTAGTTGGCGTTCTCAGTCGGGGTGCGGCGGGGTCAACGGGAGCAGATCGGCAACGCCTGAAGAAGATGGCACGGTACTTGGCAGGCACAAAGGGCCTCAAGATGAAGCTGATTCCGGACATGAGCGAGGTCTGTGAGCAATGCATGGTCGACGCGGACTGGGCTGACGACAGGACAGACAGAGTATCTACGAGTGGCGGAGTGCTGAAGTACGACGCGTGCACGGTGTTGCCCTGGTCGAGGCGCCAAGGATGCGCGGCGCCAGGTTCGGTGGAGAGTGGGTTGCACGCGCTGGGTTCAGGAGATGCAGATGCGCTGGGCCGGGCATCAGTGCTCGCGGAGTGGGGCGAGCCGACGGCACCAAGAATGAGGAGAGACAGCAGCAGCGCGTTGCACAGAGTTAGGAAGCGGGGACCTGGCAAGATGAAGCACGTGGAGATTAGGTTCCTGGCGCTGCAGCATGGAGAGAACAGCACCTCCTCACCTTCGACAAGGTCAAGACCGATGACAACGAGAACGACATGCTCACGAAGCCCATGTTCAAGGAGAAGCTCGAGAAGTTCAGCGAGATGGTAGACATGACGAGGCCTGACACGCCGCCTCCCAAAGCAGTCGGGGCGGCGAAAAGCAGCAGAGGCTTGAGCCAGCAAGGGAGCGGTTAGAGCAGTAGAGCAGCAGTTTAGAGGAGTATGCTGAGAATAGACATCAGTTTATAGGGCTCGCGGGGCCGAAGGGCCCCACAGAACCCGTTCCATAGGCTTCGGAGTTTGCAGCGTTTCCTTCGCGAGGCATTGGTCCTAAGAGGACCCAGCGGCCTCGAGGGCGTGTTGAGGGAAATAGGGGAGAGAGAGAGAGAGAGAGAGAGAGAGATGCACATCGTATCCGTAGCCTCGTTGGCACAAAATTGTCATTCCCCTTACATGTGACCCCCTTCCTTCCATCCCCCCGATCCCCTGATCCCCAGTCATCCTTTTCATCCTTCTCCACCTCGTTGTCATTATGTGTATCGTGCATGTCTTCTCTACCGTAGCCTACCGAGGAGGTAAAGCCACGCGCGTCAAGTCACCAGAGCCATACTTCGAACAGGATGTGGAAGACTGCACAGCAGCGCATAGGGCAAGGCAAAGGCGTCAAATCTCCAACCCGCGCATCGCTACAGGTGCTAAAACATACCATGATCCCCCTCCCCATCACTCCCCTCGTGCTCGTTGTCTGGCCTGGCCCGACTCAACCCCGCCCCGAAAATTGATGATCAGCCTGGGGTTGTACATGGCTTGTTCTAGCGATGTTGGGCCTGATTCGGGCGAATCCGGCTTGGTATGTGAGGCGAAGGTTTATCCATAACCACCGCTTGGGAGATCGATCTGCAGAGACTTCGGCAGGCTGTGGATACGGACACAGTCGGGCCATAGGGCTTGATGTATCCTGTCCACCTCCTGTCGAGGTCCCCGAAAATTATGACGGTGGTTACGCACCTCTCCTCCTCACCCTCCTCTTCACCTTCCTCATCATCATCGTCAGCATCGTCATCACCATTATCTATTCATCCTGCTCCTCCTGCTCCTCCTGCCCCACCCCCGCGCAGCGCAACGAGCGGAAACGGGCAGGGGCATCCAGAAGGAGGCCTCCTGAAAAGAAGGCGGCGGACGATGAGCCAGAGTTCTGGCTGGTGCTCCTGGCCGCAGTGTGGTCGATGCTGCTCGCGGGTTGCTTCGGCGGGCTGACCGTCGGCCTGCTCGGCACCCCCTTTCTTTGCCCTCGCGGCCCTCTCTCCGTTCCCAGAGATCCGAGGCTCCGGAAAAATTGGAGCGGCCATTGGAGTCCTGAAAATTAACACCAACACCAACACAGGGTGTTGCCTCCACAGGGAGAAGATGATCCTAGATTTCGGTGTTGGTGGTAATATTTCAGTCACCTTGGAAGCCAGAAAATTACCACCATCACCGAGATCGGGATCTTCTTCCCTCGGTGGAGGCACACCGCCGATATTGGTGTTGGTGTCAACCTCTGGGTCTCCCAGGCCAGGTTTGGGCCGTTTTTGAAACCGGTCCAGGACGGAAAACCGGCCTCAGGGAAGTGGTCCAGACCTCTGGGAGGCCCAAGTATCGAACGAGTTGGAGCGCCAGATGTTTGGGTCGTGTTCCTCCGCGCGATCGTGCTTTTCCTGTTGTTCCCCTGCCCCGACTCTGGCAATGTTCCTCCTCTCGAAGAAGATGTATCTGCGCAAACGTAAACTTCCGGAGGTCCGCGCGGATTTCTTGGATCGGCGTTGTGCCCAGCGCCAATCCAAGAAATCCGCATCGAACTCCGAAAGTTAATTGTTATCCCGTTGCTCCTGCTCACTGCTTTGTCCTCCTCACGGCCATCATCATCAGCAGCAGCATTATCATCGTCCTTGTCCTCACCTCCATCCCGTGGGGCGCAGGTGGTGCTGCAGGCCAGAGCCTGCATACCCAGCCCCATCTCGCATTCCTCGCAGCCGCAGCGTGCAGGCGCTCCTGTTCGTCTTGTTCCCCGCGTCAGATTGAAGCCCTGTGTTGGCCGCCAGGATTCGCTCTCGGAGGTTGCAGCGCTGCAGCGTCATGCTGTGATCACGAGAGCAGGCTCGCCAGGGACTCCTCGCGCAGCTGTTGGAGGAGCACGAAGAGGACTAGGAGGAGGAGGAAGAGGAAAACGAAGAGGAGGAGGGAAGAAGAGAAGGAGGACAAGGACGACGAACCACAGCGAGAACAAGGACGAGGAGGGGGGAGGGGGGGGGAGGGGGAGGGGGAGGATGCGGGTTGATCGCACAGCCTTGAGAGCGGTTGGTCCCTAGACGAGGTGGCATGCCAATCCACCAACGGCCAAAGCAAATTTGAAACGACAAATCCCAACAATGATCTCAACATTGAATAGGCGCTAGTTACAAGAAAGACAAAGATACGGAACCCATCATTTCTTACCCTGGACGAGAGGCGGGGAGGAGGAGGAGGAGGAGGAGGAGGAGGAGGAGGAGGAGCGATAGGAGGGGGAGATGGGAAGGAGAAGACGGTGGATGGGAGGATGAAGCAGAGGAGAAGGAGCCCGTCGACCCCCTCACGTTGAGCGAGAAAAGTGCAGTCAGGGTGCTCGATCATGCGAAGTCGTACCATGTGGTGTTGTGTCGCTTCATATAACACTCAATACTACGAGCGTACTTCTCTTCTCAGGTGCCATTCTTGCCGTGCTCAAGCTGTGCCATGTAAGGGTTTGAGTGGATGGCCACAGGGTCGGTTCTGGTTGCTCGATACCGTGCCTTACGATGTCCACTAGTCTGGCTCCGGTCAGTCGTTTCCATGCCGCGCGGTGCCGTGTGAGTTGTGCAGGTTGGTTCGGTGAGAAG